TCCATGCTGTACGCTACAGACCACGGCATGGTACAACAACCTGGAAAGCACACTTTGCAACACCAAAGTGGACACAGGGAACCCAAGCCTGCTTTAATTTAAGAGGTCACTGTGGTTGCTATAACGATGAAGTGATGGTTCATAATCCTCCTCTGCTGTTCAACATCACAAATGATGCTTCAGAAGACTTTCCACTCAATTCTAACGATGAAAATTACAAATTAGTAATAAAATATATTATATATGCTCTAAAGAAACACAAACAGACTATAACTAATGTTCCCAATCAGTTGAACGATAATCTTTGGTATCCATGGCGACAGATCTGTTGTAGCTTTCCTTATTGCTCGTGTAAGAGAGAATAAAGAACACAAAGAGTAACATTAATTTTTTCAATGACCGTATTACCGCAGGAAGCCCAATACTGTGAAGTGCTTTCATCGCACAACTGGAATAGCATTCCTTATTTCTGTAGTCAAAAACTGTCTTAATTTTTATTAAGGAAACTTGGGTATTAAGATAAGAGACACCGTGAACTGTGATCAAATTATTCTTTGATTGTCAGCATTACAGGATTACTAATAGACCCCTTGCATTGATTCCCTCGAGGAATTGTTCTGGGGGACAAAACAATGGAATATTTTTGCACAAGGAAAGATGCCCTATTGTTTTGTCCCCCAGAACAATCCCTCTAGGAAATCAATGCAAGGGGTGTATAAAAAATATTGATAACTCCTTCGATATTCTCTTATAAATCATGAAACAATGACAGATTCTTGAAGGAGGTCAAGGGCGTTTAAGAGAATGATAACATTAAATGTAAAGGTGTCACCCCCGGGATCCGCCAAATCGATGATTACCGCAGCCGCTATTAGTGTCGTCACGCAACGCTCACTTAGGGGAGTGAGCGTTGCGTGACAACCAAAGTTTGAGATACTGTTCTAGCGTGGAACGCCTGACTATCTTCATCACGGCAGAGAAAATGTCGTCCCCAGCATCAAGTCACCTAGTTTTAACTTTCATGTTAGTATTTTCATGGCTGAGTATCACCATTGGAGAGCAGAGTCGACCCAACATCGTGATTTTCATGGTAGATGATCTTGGTGTAGCTGATCTAGGTTGTTTTGGTAATGATTCCATCAAGACTCCAAACATCGACAAGCTGGCATCAGAAGGAGCGAGACTCACTCATAATCTTGCTGGAGAATCTATTTGCACCCCGAGCAGAGCTGCTTTTCTCACAGGAAGATATGCAGTTCGTTCTGGAATGGTTCCTAGCGAGGACGCAGTACCAAATATCAGAGTTTTTATTTTCACTGCAGTTCCAGGCGGCTTGCCTCGCAACGAAACGACCTTTGGTAAAGCTCTCCAAGGGGTCGGTTACACAACAGGTACTCGATATAGTGACAACAACAACCGGGCTTGTTTTTAATTACGAGCCTTTGCAGAGGATGCAATAGGATTTTTAAAAATCATGACGTCTCTTTATACTATTTTTTGACCTCCCAACTGTTATGATTATTACTGAACTTGTGGCTCATTTTTAACTTGCCCACATAAGCTTTTCTCAAATTTACTCTACCTCATTTCCTAATTCTTCGGCCGATTCAATGTTTTTGTCTTTTAACTCTCTTGAGAATGCTTGCAACCCATCAATACAAAGATTAGAAACTCTTGACATTGGCACAAATCACAATTCAAATCAGTTAAAAAATTGCAGGGGTCAATCCAGGGGTGTTGGAGGGAGGTATAGGTACTTTCTTTGTAGTGGTGCAATGTTTTTCCAATAATTACAGCAGACCACATATCATGATTCCCATTATTATATAACTGTTGTAAATCTCATGTTCTGATTGGTTGGGAGTGTGTGCTTTATGAGAGCACATAGCATGTGCACAAACCTTCAGTTGCGTCATTCTTATCTAAAATAATGGCTGTTGAAATTTGTATTTTATAAAAGAAATAAAAAACTTGCTTGCTGTGCTGTGTGGAGTTATAAAGCACTTGGGAATCAAAGAATCTCATTCTCTAGGGAATGAAAATAGTGATCTACAATGGGAAAACCTTGGAACGCCTCAATGAATTAGGTCTATTCTAATTCAAATAGACAATGATGATCATAAAATCTCAAAAATATTGATTCAGGAATTTGTTTTTCCTATTGAAACCAGGTCTGATAGGAAAGTGGCATCTGGGACTCAATCTGAAGAAAGCAGATGACTTCTTTTACCATCCCCTCACACATGGCTTTGATTACTTTTATGGAATACCATTAACCAATATACGTAATTGTCAGCCAGAATTATCTGTTTTTGACCATGTTCTTCCTCACTGGAAGGAGAAAGCAGCTGGGACTATTCTAGTTACAGGTCTTTTTGGGATCCTTGGCGTCGTTTTCGGCAAAATTAGGAAGTTCTGGTTTATTCTTTTCATGACAATTCAGGTTATTCCATTTGTTGTTCTTTACTTAGCCGAGTACTCAATGCCAATATCGAACTGTTTTCTCATGAGAAATTATGATATTGTAGAACAGCCTATGATATTGGAAAACCTCACTGCAAAATTTACTAGTGAAGCTGTAGATTTTATTGAACAAAACCAAGCCAAACCATTTCTCTTGTTCATGTCATATGCAAAGGTCCACACAGCCTTGTTCACAACAAAAGTATTTGAAGGTCATAGTGGTCATAGTAAATATGGTGATAATGTTGAAGAGATGGATTGGAGTGTAGGGCAGATCATGGATG